TAGTTATTTACTCACCACATTGCATTATAGTAATTGTTAGCAGGAAATTGTATTAAATCTACCTAGACAAGTAAAAATCATGTGAATAGCAATAAAATTGTTTCACAGTCTTACTAAAAGTGTGTTTACATAAAGTACTGAAAGCATTACACTAGAAGATTTTTCATGGAGTCGCTTTACATTTGCACATATTTAGATTTAGTTATTATGTACTATTCTACTAGTATTAAAAGTCATATCTTTTTATCAATAACTTTTAAAGATAATTTTCCAGTGAAGTTTAACAAGTTAGCACAAATTTCATCAAGAATTCTCAATTGTTTATGTCACGATTTCTCTGCTTATAAAATCTAGCACTCTAAAAAAGGTCTTTTTTACTTTAATGTTATCCTCAAAGAATAAAGGAATGCAACTATGCTCTTCAATGTGCTACCAGCACATAAAGAATAAAGAAAATGAAGTGGTCAGTTTTTCATGGGAAGTTAAAATTTCATTGTTAAGAATATTTAGAGAGTGAACATGATGTCACATGCCTGCAACCCAGCACTTAGAAGGCTGAGACAGATGATTAGATTTTAAGGACTGCTTGGACCACATAGTGTGTTCCAAGATAACCTGAGCTACAAAACAAAACTTTGTCCACTATAATTCAAACAGAAGAAACTATAAAATATTTACAAATGTATATACCTTATTCAAAGAAAGTAGGTATTTGTTACCTAAATCTCATTATTTTATAAATTGTAAACATTATCTGAAATAAAATCATAATTTCTACTGTTTCTTTCAAGGAAAAGGAATTTGCTAATGAAGAGGATATGATTACCAAAATTTGAAATAGTACCATAATATAATTATGTAGAATAATGTCATAGTTATTAATGACATCTTTTTAGCATTGAGAACAGTTTATGTATACACATTAGCAGGTGCAGATGGTTCTTATATGTGTTTTACTAATACATATGATTATAGTGACAAAGGTGTTTTCTTACAACCACTCTTCTATTTGGAATTTTTAATGTCTTACTCTGTTAGATTTTATTCTTTCACTTTATGCCTTTTTGTCGTACTTTTCCATTTAAGGCTATAGAACTTTGCATTCAGCTCTTGCCTTATGTTTTGTCTTTCCAATTCACACCTTACTTGGCTTTTTGCTCTCTAAAAATAAAAGAATTTTGAGCATTCTCCCCTTTCTTCACTAACCAATGCTCTTACATTTGGGTTATTGTTGTAAATGGTCCATTTTTATCTCTGCTTCTCAACTACTAGTTATAAGTGTGTATGGTTTTTATTGTCTTTGTTAATCTATCTGATACACTCGGAACTATAAGGATGCAAGTTCAACTAGAAAATAGAAAAAATTACTTTTCTTGAGTACCTCTTGTATATTAGGTAATGTATTTGTACCATATCCTCGCCATCCTCTTATGAGATCTAGGTTTGTAAATACACTGCAGCTAAGAAAGCTTAAGTATTTTATCCTCAAATCTAGATAACTGCATATATTTATTTCTGATTTCTACTAATATTTATTCAGCATATGCTAGATGTTACCCACTGTACTGTGTGATGTAGTACATTCAAGCCCTTTTTTCTAGTATAACTTCCAGTCTAATTTCACAGGTAGCAATATTTTTGACAAACCGTTCATTCATTTTAAAAAGAGAAAATAACTCAAAGTAGATTGTAGTGCTAAATACAAAAGATGCATTAGTTACAGATGTAAGAAAGATTATGTTAGCGATTTGTTTCAGAATGCACTACTGGAAACACATCATCATGCCTTGACCTATAAGAATCCTATTGTCTGCTCCCCGCCTGCCATCAACTCACCATGTTTTATACCATAATAATGTGAAAGCAAACAATGCAGAAGACTATCCAGTCTTTAAGATCAGAAATTTCCCCTGCAGGGTCTCTTAACCTAGAGAAGGAGAGAAATCCTAGTCCCTACTTCAAATGACTTGACAGATCTACATGATCCCACCTGGATGGCATTGCCCAACATGTGGAATTGGGGTAGGGGGCGGGGAGGGGAGGATGGTCAGGGTGCATGTGAGGGGGCAGAGAGGGTAAGTAAGAGGGAAGGAGGGAGAGGGAACTGGGATCGACATGTAAAATAAAAAATAAATTAATTAAAAAAAAAAGAAAATCAGAGTATAATGCAAATGTATCTCAGATACTTCATCATATAGGAAATTTCACTGAGAGGTTTGTTTATGTCCAATGGTGAACCATAAAAGCAATTTCAAATAAAACAATTCTCTGGAAGCTAAAGTGAGACATTTCAGGCATAATCCAATGTTTGGGCAAAAAATCATGAGATGTTTTAGAGAATCTAGAAAGATGGATGAGCTTTATCTCTCCCTTGCAATTTTCATGTTTTTTTTTTTTTTTTTTTTTTTTTTTTTTTGTTAACTCTAGATCACAGCTTTTACACTGTTTATTTAATTCATCACTGGATCATCACATCCTTTGAATACTACAAAACAACTTGTGGACTCCTAATAAGTAATGTTTTCAAGTAGATAAGTATTGTCCTTTGGTCTCTTTACTCTATTTTAGATTAAATAGAGACTTGAGTATCCATTGGTACTTCTCTACTTGTCCTTAGAAAGTGCTATTCTTCTTAGGGCACATAATCTTTATGTATATCTCCTTTTTTCTCTTTTTTTTTTTTTTTTTTCTTTTCTTTTTTTTTAGTTGCTGAAGTAATAATGGAGATTGAATATTTTAAAAGAAAAATAAATTTATTTCACTTTTAGAAACTGAGAATCCAAAATAGAGGGAGTCTATGTTAGCCTCTAGCAAGGGCCCCTGAGGTGCATCACAACGTAGCAGAGAGGCATAAAGGAAAGTGGCTATGTCCCAAGAGCTCATATGGCAAGCTTACTCTTTTACATGACTTGTCCCCTTAGGAATTGACAGCAGGAGACCAGCATTGAAATTTGTAGTGATAACACCTCACCCTTTAACATGGCCACTCTGAAGTACAAGCTACTAGCATGAGTCTTGTTGAGATAAACTATTTTCAAATCCATTAATGTTAACTAACCACTGTTTGTATGGTGACTGTTTAAAGCGGGTAATGAAGTGTTAACTCTGCTAACAAAGTCCGTTTATATTATGTTCACCTTCCCTTTGTTTGACTATTTGGATTTAGATTTTTAGATTTTTAGTTTCCTGACTGAAGTAATGTCCCATATCATGAGGCCTCAAACTTAAATTGGATATGTTGGCTTCAGATGATGAAGAGTGAATTTGACAACTCATCATTTTTCAACTTTGAACTTTGAAGTTAAGGTTTTCTTTTCTACTGCTTGTGGTGCCCTTTGATTAAAGCAGTTCATTAAGATTTAGTTCTAGGTATCCTATATTTTATATGCATACTGGGGACAAATTAACCATATACGTACACATGCATGCATACATGCATACATACATCCTAAAACTTACACTATCAGTATCTGAAAAGTACTTGATTTGCCCTAACTGTCGTGTCAAGTCTTCCACTTTTGTCTGAAGACAACAATTAGCCATAGATGCAGCCTTACATATAGCTATCACTCACTGCTGTTGAACTTTTGCAGGTTCAACCTGTCTCTGTATTCTGTTATTGTTTATATTTTGCTTACTTTCCCTAATATTGGAACACTCTTATTTTGCAAGTTTTACTTTTGGTCACTTTTAGTTATTGTAACTTCTTTCACTTATAGAAACATTGCTAGAAATGTATTGAGTCATGTGCTTTGTTCCTAATTTTAACCTAAAATATACCTGTACCATTAAATACAATGTACAATCATCCCTCATATCTTGTAATTTCATTGTATAGCCCTTCACAAATATTAGTGTTTTACAAAGTAAAGGTTTGAGACAACCCCGTGGAAAGCAAGAATATTAATTCCATTTTCCAATGTATGTTCACCTTACAACTCTGTGTTGCATTTGGTAAATCTCCCAATGGTCTAAACTTATTCATTATTTTTATGTCTGTTGAACAGTCAACAGCCAACAAGATCAAGACTAGATCTTCCACTTGGAATGCAGTTATATCTGCCTGAAGGTTCAGATGATTACTATCATACTTTTGCAACACTGTATTTCATTATTATAAGTTCTTTAGATATAATGATATGTTTAATACAGTACAGGATAATATGCATTCAGAAGCCAAAAAGTTCATATGATATGCTTTATTGTTTCATTGGCTGAACAGTGGTCTGAAACTAAACCTGGAATATCTCCAAGGTATGCTTTATGCTCTGTTAGAAAGTGTGGTTTTTCTCTCTCCCTCATTAACTTAATCCTAGTTTAACTACACTTCATCTTGAGAATGTTGGACTGTAATTCTTAGCATAATAAATCTTTTCACTTTATTCCTTTAAAAAAATTCAGTGGCTAATTTGTATTGAAAATAGAAAATGTAAGATTTTTCTTCTACTTTATGGGGAAGTGATTTTTTTTGTCTTTTTATCAATGTTATAATATCATAGAACTAGGAATTATATATTTTAGAAACCACTTTTTTTCAGTAATAATAGGCAAACTCTAGATATGATACAATGTCATAGCTCATACTGAAGCCCTTACCGAGTGAATATGGGGGCCCTCTTAACTTTCAACCTTAAATACCACAAAATAAAAACCCTAAGAGCCACCAAAAATAATACCCAGCTTTCTTATACCACCGAAATCTTTTGAACTGTCACAGCAATCTGAGGTTTCCTTTTTCAAATTCAAGTTATCTGCAAGATGAGCTTTCTATCAAATACTCTTGAAACTGTGAGGAAAAGATATAACTGGTAACAGTGTTTGGATTTTCCTAATCATTAGCTTATGTTCAGTGATCCTGAAAAATTGAGCTGACTGACTTTAAAAATCAAAATGAATAAGAAACTACAAAATACATGGTTTATCTTGAAGTGAAATTTACTACTCTGCCTTTCTTCTTTATTGGCTAATTACTCAGTCTGCTATTTAATCTTTAATTACAGGCCACAAAAGAAGTAATAGAACGGGAAGCGCCAGGGATGGCCCTGGCCATGCTGATGGGATCCCTTAATGTTACACCTCTGGGCATGCTCTCTAGGTAAGAAAGCCACCCACAGATTGCAAAGAAAGTAAACTCCTCACTACACATCAATAACCTAGAACAGTAAATCTAAGAGAGTTTAGTCAGAAGGCTTACATTCATCTCGTTTTATCCAAAGTTAAGTTTTAGTGTCCACTGTAGCTAAATCTCAACCAGTCCCCACTTTTTTCTTTTTGGTTTTGTTATATTAAACTTCTATAGAGTGTTTTTATCACTGCTAAAAGCCATCAGTCCTAATGTGTAAGAGTTGAGTTCATCAACCTGTGAAGTTTTCTTTTGTGATCATTTATAATCACCAATTGATGTTCATGAAATGTAACTAGATGCTAGTTTAATGCAACAAACCAGCATAATTTATTAAAGTCACTTAGCTCATATGTAGAAACTTTGGTTTGAATTCATAAAGAGGTATATTTAAGTGTAGTCATAAAAGAGATAATCTCTGAGTAATTTTGTATATTTAAATTGCTCTATTAAATCAGTGTATTATATCAAATTAGTATACTTAAAACTATGCTTTTATTGGCATACATGGTGGCATCTATATTTGATGTGGTGGTTTCTAGGTATTTTAGCAAATCTTAGATTATAACCCTATAAATGAAAACAGTATAAATCATTTAAAATGAAAATTTAGTCATGATCTCCTTTAGTGACCTTTGATGAATAGACATTAATCTCATAGTAGCCAAAAATACACAACTTTGTAAGTTAATAACTTTATAATCAGCATAGCCACTTATATTCTGTGTGAAATATGAATATAAAAGTTAAAATGTCTACTTAGTTAATAAGTGTTATTCAAATGGCTTTCAAGTTACTTGGATTAAGTTTATATTTCATTATTGGCAGTCATTAAAGGTATAGCTATGAATGAATCAATGATTACTATATTTTCTTTCCTGTCACGCATACATACATTTATATATGTATGTATTACACAGTATTGTAATGTTTAATATGTGAAAAGGAACTTAAAAATAATGTGAGATTATATATACATATATATATATACTTATTTATTTATAATTATTTGGGAATTTTACATATGCTTTGATCATATTCTCCTTTCTACCAACTCTTCCCACCTGACCTTGGGTCCTTCTTTTTACCCTCATTATGGCCAGTGTATACTGCATAAACATTCTTAGGTGTGTGGACTACCACTGGAACAATCTAAATTTATTAGGGGCTACATTCTTAGAAAAAAGCAAAATATTCCCCTCCCAACATCCAAGAAGTGAAAATAGCTCTTCAACTAGGGGTAGAATTTCATGTCCAACTCCTCTTTCCACGTTTGGATTTGGTTTGGTTCAGATTTGCACAGGCTTTCTACATGTTGTCTTACCACCATGAGTTCATATGCGCAAGATGGCCTTCTCTGGCCATGAGACACTGTTTCCTTGTAGTTATCCACTGCCTCTAGCTTGTACATTCTCTCCATTCTGTCTTTGGCAATGATCCCTTAGCAGGCTGAACATTCTTCTGTCTCTTGTTTTCTGCTTTTTAGCCAATTGTGGGTCAGTGTTGATCATCATCCACTGCAAATATACATTCTCTGGTGAAGTTTGAGAGATTCTTTAACCTATGGATATAATAATATATCATTGGGAGTTAGTTTAATACTATGTCCACTTAACAAATCATTCCAGTAGTTCCTAGCATGATATCATCTACCTTGCCATAGTTTTTGGCCTAGTAACGGTGCCAGGTATGGATTGTATTATAGCCAGAATTTCTGTTCCACCTATTCCCAAAGCTGTTTAGCCCCAAATAAACACAGAGACTTATATTAATTATAAACTGTTCGGCCAATAGCTCAGGCCTCTTATTATCTAACTCTCTCTTCATTATTAACCCATGTCTATTAATCTATGTATTGCCACGAGGCTATGGCTTACTCATAATGTGGCATGTTACTCCTTCAGCAGATATATGGTGTTTCCCTGATGGCTTCTCTCTGCCTTCCCTAGCATTCCTCATCTGGTTGCCCTGCTTATACTGCCTCTCTGGTTACTGGCCAATCAGTGTTTTATTAATCAACCAATAAGGGAAACATATATACAGAAGGACATCCCCCATCATTTTATGTTGTGGATCAGGCCTTAAATCCTATTAGAAAGTGTTTAGTTACTCTCATTACATTCATGCCACTGTTACATGAGTGGGCAGTGTTTTGTCTGGCCAGGTATTATTGTATAGAGATCACAGCTCAAGAAGATTAATGGTTACTTCTCTCTTCCAGTAGCTTGCATAACACCACCTAGCACTATAAAAGCTGTTTAGTAGGAATGAAGCTTCCTGATTTGTGCCAGCTTGATCCCATCATGTTCTGTGACTCAAGCATATGATATCTTCAACAATAGGGACATATTATCAAATTCTGGAGGTAACCATGAGCATTGGCAATGGTCTGTGATTCTTGAGACTCTTTGGGACCTCACTGGCCAATACTCCAAAAAAAGATAGCCCATCCCTGGAATTTGAATTTTTATATGTTAGTCTCTTTTCCCATTATAGGGTAACTTCTACAATAGTATATACCCATATTTTAAAAAACTATTTAATGTTATTTGTCCCTTATATTGTAATGGCTACTTTTCTCTGCTTACTTTAAAGATTTTTTTTCTTTATTGTTTAGTTTTCACTATTTGATATTCAGTGCCTGGATGTAGTTTCGTTAAGATTTTGCTTTTATGTTTGCTGAGATTCTGGAACCTCCAAAATTATGCTAATCAGATTGGGAATCCATTAGCTATTGTTTTAAGGGTTATTTTTCTTGTACAATTTTCAATCTCTTCTCCATTATGACTTCTGACATGAAATTTTAATCTGTTAATAATTAATATTCCAAGGATACTTTTAATCTATTCTTGATCTGTTTGTCAGAATATTTACATGACGCATCATTATATTAATGGATGTTACCCTCTTTCAGTTCCATTCTGCCTTTGAACTTTCTCGGTGTAATCATTTCAAGTAATTTTTCTTTCAATTCTAAAGTTTCCATGTAGATATTTTCATGGTTTGTGTTTCTTGACTGTATGTATGTATATATGTATATATATACATATATATATTATTAATGTCATTTGAGGATGGTTATATTAGCTATGTAAAAATTACTTTTCTGACAGTTCTGACATATGGCTCCCCTTGTGGTTGGTGCCAGTGGATTTTTTTCCCACAGAAAATAAATACATTTTTCTGGTTTTCCCAATGCTAGATAATTTTGGATAATATCCTGGGTATTTTGGATATTGTATTCATCTTTTTAAGATTTATTTATTCATTATGTATACAATGCTTTCCCTGCATGTATTCCTGAACACCAGAAGAGGACACCAGATCTCATTATAGATAATTGTTAGCCACCTTGTGCTTGCTGGTATTGAACTCAGGACCTCTGGAACAGCAGCCATGCTCTTAACCACTGAGGCATCTCTCTAGCCCTGAATATTGTATTCTAAGTAAAATATTTACTCCAGTTTAAATGTCTGGATAATGTTTATTGGGTTTAACAACTAACCTGTTTGAGTATTAATCCAGATGTCTTTGCTATACTGTGGTATTTTGAATAAAATGTCCTCTATATTCTTGGGCATTTGAATTCTTGATTCTCAGATAGCACTGTCTGGGAAAGTTTAGAAGATATGATTTGTTGGAGGAAGTATAGGACTATGGGTGCACTATTGGAGTTTATGCCATCTTTTACACTTGAGATTCTTTCTTCCATCTCTTATATTTTGTTGGTGATGCTTGGGTCCTGTTCTCTTACCTAGATTTTCCATATTCAGTTTTCCCTCAGCTTGTGTTTTCTTTACTCCTTCTATTTCCATTGTCAGGTCTTGAGTTGCTTTAGTCTTTTTTTTTTTTTTTTTTTTTTTTTTTTTTCCCCTTTGCTTTCTTTAAGGAATTTATTTCCCCACCCCGTTATTTGTTTGTGTATTACTGGATTTCTCCTCTCTCTCTCTCAATCTCTGTCTCTCTCATGCATTTGGTGATTTCCCTGCCTGTTTGTGTGAGGGTGTAGGATCCCCTGGAACTGAAGTTAAAGAGGCCTGTGAACTGCCATGTGGTCCTCTAGAAGAGCAGCCAGTGGTCTCAACCACTGAGCTACCTCTCCAGTCCCTTTTCATCTTATTCATTTCCTCTTTGAGGAACTCTATTGCCTTCATAAAACTGAGTTTAAGGTAGTTTCCTTGTGCTTCAACTGTATTGGAATATTCAAGGTTTGCTCTAGTAGGATAGTTGGGCTATGGTGGTGCCATATTGCCCTGGTTGTTGTTAATTGTGTTATTAAACTGGCATCTAGACATCTGGGATATGAATATAGGCCTAGAAGTCAATTTCTGAGGGTTTTTTGTTGTTGTTAGAAGGGTGTTTTATTCCTTGCTTTCTGTTTCCTCTTTTGTCTTCTGACCTTTGTGGTCTGTATTTCTGGAAGCCTGCATGATCTAGTTAGGGGCTGGGCTTCTGATAGCTGGTGTGGCCCTTGGTCCAGCAGAGGAATTTCTGTTCTTCACTGGTGTGGCATGCACTTGAGCAGTGCGTAACCCCCTCACCCCCACCTCACCCCCACCTCACCCCCTTGTAGGAGCAGTGGCAAAGCAGTGGGTGCAGGTGGTGGGAGATGTCAACAGCTTGGGTTTTTCATCTCTGAAATGAGGGTGGGGGGAGCAGGTTCCTAGGGCAGGTGGAACTCTTACCTGTTCTAACTGGCATGGTCTGCACCTATGATATTAATGTCTACCCTTGTAGAGGCAGGCGCATGGCAAGGGAGGGGAAACTGTGGGAGAGTTCAGTTGGCAGGCAGGGTCTTGTCCAGTTGTCATACCTGACTAGTTCCACACCTCCATACCATGGTGGTGATGAATACTTATTTCTCTGGAACCATAAATTCAGATAAACCTTTTTTCTATAATTTGCCTGCTCACGGTGTATTATATATTATAATCATGATGGGAAAGTAACTAAGACTTACACTGTCAAGTTCT